GAGGGGCCCCCCCACCATGGGGGCCCCCCCCAGGGGGGCCCCCGCCCCCGAGAGGGGAGCCCCCACGGGAGCCCCCAGGGGCGCCCCCAGGGGGGCCCCCAGGGGGCCCCCAAAGGGCGGAGGGGCCCCCAGGCCGTCGTCCAGGGGGGCCCCCAGGGGGGCCCCCAGAGGGGCCCCCAGGGGGGCCCCCAGGGGGGCCCCCGGGTCGTCCTGCAGCAAATTAGTTAGCTGCGCCTCGAGGGTATCGAGCTTAAGAGCCATGTCATCCAACTTATTTAAAATGCTGCTGCTGAGGGAATTGAATTTGCTGTTCATGTCTTCAAGGAGCTCGCAGAGGGCCTCGCCCAGCTCGCCGCCTCCTGCTGCTGCTGCTGCTGCTGCTGCTGCAGAAGACGACGGCAGCAAAGATGCGCCCAAGGGGCCCCCACGGTCAAGGGGGCCCCTCCCTGAGGAGGCCCCTGAAAACAGCACAGCAGCACTTTCAAAAGCTGTGAGATCCCTAACAAATTGCTGCTGCTGCTGCTGCTGCTGTTGCCGCTGCTGCTGCTGCTGCTGTTGCTGCTGCTGCTGCTGTTGCTGCTGCTGCTGCTGTTGCTGCAGCTGCTCTGGAAGCATCGAGAAGCAGCCTCAACTCGAAAGGCTTACCTTGAACAGACGAGTCTTGCTGCTGCTGCTGCTGCCTCTGCTGCCGCAGAGAAGCCAGGGTGGGCCCTGCTGCTGCTGCTGCTGCTGTTCCTGCTGCTGCTGCAGCAGGCTGGCCGTTAGTGCCCCCTGTGCCCACGTCTGCTGTACTCATCCTCGCTCTTGCTGCCGCTGCTGCTGCTATCGCTGCTGCTGCTGCTGGTGCTGCTATTTCTGCCACTGCAGCTGCTCTCGCTGCTGCTGCTGCTCTTGCTGCTGCTGCTGCTGCTGCTGCAGGCTGGCTCCCTTTGTAGGCACGATAAATCTGTACACGGCTGCGTCACAAGTCACCAGTCCCAAGCTCTAAACCCTAAACCCTAAACCCTAAACCCTCCTCCCCACATGCAAACCCTAGACCCTAAACCCTAAACCCTTGCCCAAGACCCGAACTCAAGAGGGTAGCCACTCGGCCAAATCTAAAGCACCCTCGAGGGCGCAGCGCCGGGAACCTAGGGTTTAGGGTCTAGGGTTTAGGGTTTACCGAGGCCTGCGAAGCTTGCTGCAACAAAACTGTAGAAGTATCTGTCGCTGCTGCGGGGGGCCCTCAAAGCTGCTTGAGAAAGAGCAGCAAAAGAGGCCCCAGAAAGGAGGCAGCAGCCGAGCAGCCTGCACTGGAAGCAGTCTGCTGCTGCTGCTGCTGCTGCTGCTGGCGGGTCTGCTGCTGCTGCTGCTGCTGCTGCTGCTGGGGAGCAGCGCCGCGAGAGGGCCTGCTGCAGAGACGCAGGCAGCAGCGGCTTAGACAAAGACAAAAGGGAGACACAGGGGCCCCCAAGTTCAGTGCCTCCTTCAGCTGTTTCAGGGGGGCCCCCAGTCATGATTAAGAGCCGCTGCTGCTGCTGCTGCTGCAGCTGCTCGTAGCTGCTTCGCTGCAGCAGCTCGCGCGGACGCCGGGGAGGCACGGAGGACACACAAAACGGACAAAAAACAAAAATTCAAGCCGGTGTTGCTGCTGCTGCTGCTGCTGCCGCTGCTGCTGCGGCGGCGGCAGCAGGTGAGGCCCCAGCAAGACCGCGGCGCTCTTGCTGCACAGCAGCAGCAAAAGGCTCTGCTGCAGCAGCAAAACTGCGCGCAAATTCAATCACACGTTTGTCTCAGCATCAGCAGCAGCAGCAACAGCAGCAGCAGACGGCACATGCAACGTGCAGCAGCAGCGGCAGCAGGAGCAGCAGCTGCAGCTCTACTGGCAGCAGCTGCTGCTGCAGCTAGAGCTGCTGCTGCTGCTGCAGCACGAAGGCCCCCTACTATAGAACAGAAACCAATTGCTGAGGGGTGAGGCCCCTTTTCTAAGTAGCTTATGTTACTGTTTAGGCACTGCTGCAGCCAGGCAGCAGCAGCTAGAAGCAGCAGCAGCAGCAGCAGCTACTGCCGCCGCTGCAGCAGCAGCAGCACCCCTGCAAATAAACTCAATGGGTGTGCTGCTGCAGCACGGCTGACGGGGTCTTTGACTGCATGCGGACAGTGTGCTGCTTCTGGTGTACGTACGCAGCAGCAGCAGCAGCAGCAGCAGCAGCAGTGGCAGCAGCAGCAGCAGCAGCAGCAGCGGCAGACAGGCTCCCGTGAAGCAAAGCAGCGGCAGCAGCAGCAGCTGAACTATGGAATCAACGGCGAGGGCGGACACGGGCCTTTGAAAGAGGCCAAGCCCTCATAGAGAATGGGTGTGCTGCTGCTGCTGCTCTTGCTGCTGCTGTTGCTGCGGTGGCTGCTGCTGCTGCAGTGGCCGCTGCTGCTGCGGGTGCCGTTGCCGGTGCCCCCTTTGCGCTTGCTGTAGCAGCTGCTGTTGCTGCTGTTGCGCGTGCGGCTGCTTCTGCCCCGCAGCAGCTGCTGCTGCTGCTCCAAGAGCAGCAGCAGCAGGAGCAGCAGCAGCTGCTGCTGCCGCTGCAGCAGCAAAGCTTCTTGTGTCTGCTTGTGCTGCAGATGACCCTGGCGATGTAGTAATTTGGCTGTTTGTGTTTGCCCTAGTGGTGAGTGCAGCAGACTTGTCTTCTTTTATTTCTTTTATCTTTTTAATATTTTTAGCTTTTATTTCATTATTTCTTTTGTTTCTTTATTTCTTTTTCTTTTTTGCGTCCCCTTTTGCTGCTTTTCCCCCGTGTCTTGTGTCTCCTTTGCTGCTGCGTCTCCCGCTGCTGCTGCTGCTCGCCAGGCGCATCAGAAGAAACCCCTCTGCCGCTGCTGCTGCTGCTGCTGC